AATTAAATAAATAAAAACACACAATCGTCATGGCCATTTAATACGACTGCGAGCGTTGCTCCCGACGTGATGCCATGTTATATCATAATGTAGTTCTCCTCTCCACTGTACAATATCTATATACATACACATACACGTGAGCGCATTCGATCCGGTATAACGTTCAGCTGGTGCGTGTCGCATAAATAACAATAAATGATGCTAAATTCGTGTGCCGTTCATAAATGGGCTTCTCGTCGTCGTCGATGATGATTGTCGTAACCCCATCGGACAAAAGAGATTCGCTACACACACTCGTATTCGCTACATGTACGTACACACGCGCGCATAGATATTATACTACGTACGCAGGACGATGGTTTTTCAGAAGGGACAGCGGCGGCGGACCTTTTAAACTTCCGGCTCCGTCTCATTGCTCATGCCCCTCCTTCGGTTCGCCGAGTCGGTACTGAACGACGCCGGTTTCCGGTTCTCTTTTCTAAATTGTTGTTAAAGCCCGTCCGGGTCGAATATCGTTCTTTTGTCGTGCGTTTATCGGCGATACACGCGCCCCGCGCACAGGGGTTGCATGTGCTATTTACAGATATGATAATGTACATGCACGCGCGTGTATGCGTATATAGAACAAAACAGTTGAAGTCCGAAACCAACCGTTTTGTGTGTACGGCGCGATGACGGCATTCACCGAGTTAGTTTTGTTAGTTAGTTAGTTCTGTGACCCGAATCGATTTTTCGGAAAAAATATATATCATACACGTACAATGTCTACGCGCGCACACCAAACCATACAAACTATGAAGTGCGACACGTACTGTTTCAAATGTTTCCTGTTTCGCGACGGAAGAGTGTAGTCGAAAGAAAAAAAAAGTACAATCGGAATTCAACACTGAAATAAGTTTTAATAAAAAAGTTTTTAGAGAAAGTGATTGTTTGTGAAAACTCCATTAACCTCTTTTTTTCAGTCACCACGTTTACACACACATATACGTAATACTTACGGTGTATTATATTACTGACGAATGTATCATAAGTGGATATATAAAAGAGTACCTTTTGTGTGTGTATTGTGCGTGTGTGTGCATGTAGTGGGGATGTCAGGATCAGGTCAGGTAGGGCCATGGTCCTACCGAAAAATAACTGACCTCACCAGTGGTCTTACCACTGGACTGATCTTAGACATAATAATATAGTAATTTATCGTTAGTAAATTTATTTTTAAGTAATTTTTTCATAGTATTTAAAATTATATAATATAATTCCTAATTAGCTTATATTATTGTAATTATTTTTTTTTTCTCAAATCTTTTTTTTTTTTTTTTAGCACTATCATATAACTGTTGGATTCCTATTAGGAATTAATATTTTAATAAGCGTTTTGCCTGTTGGCCTTACTTAAAAAAGAACCTGGTATCATTATTATCTGCGTGTAATGTAATTTTATTTCGATCCTTGATAACAGACAGTTTTCAGATGTGCTATATCGAATTGTTCAACGACAAGTGTACGCACGTTGTATACCTATTATAAATCTACACTACAAATGACATAAAAACAAACAAATCTCCTGTGATTTTATTATTTACTTAACCGATAATCCCTTTTTGCAAATAAATAAAAATATGATTAGTTTCGAAAGTTATTTTAACGCAAACAAATTCTTGTACAGCGTTATTATATAGTTTAGTAGTATAATATGTATATTTATATATAGTGGCGCAAACAAAGGTGTTTTGGGTGTCTGGACACCACCTTGAATTTATAGAAATTTAATTTGATGACTATCGAAATTTTTTTTAAAAATGCTAATATTTTCGATTTATCGTTCTCAATTTTACGTCATTGGAACCTGTATAAATACGGGTTGAGCATTTAGCATTATTCAGATGTAGATAGGTTGTTCTATTGGCAGTGTTTTACTGGCCATTTCCCGTATTAATAAATTATTGCTCGTCGTGGACTTTGTTACAGCCACATCGCCGCGAGTATATAATTCTTAGCCCAGAATATCTTGTTATTTTAATTTTTTGTGTTTTTAACTGTTTGTTAATTTATTGTGATAAATTAATAAAACAGTAAGTTTATAAGTTTAATATACCAGTGTTAAATTTATTCACCTACCTATCTCTCTCAACCCACGTCTCAAGATTACATACAACGTGCTACGACGTTAAATAATTAATGTGGTACCGATCGTAGTGTCCTGCACAACGATCACTACAAAATTAATGCCAAGCATAGAATTACAGGTTCGAATAAGATAATACAATAAATATAGTATCAATAATAGTGATTCGAAATTCAATAATTATTAGTTTTTTTAAAAAATAACTGTACAGGTGTATACATATTATATTATATATTTACCACTGGCGGACATCCCCATTTGAAAAACTCCTGGTTGCGCCACCGTTTACGTACAACAGACGATTACGTTAAAACGTTTTTCGTTCGTCAAAAAAACGTGCCAATATTAGGTCACACAACGCTTTAATCCACGACTGTATTGCATTGTAATTATTAAAATTATTTTTGACCGAAGGTAATTATACGAAATTCGTTCAAACGTGCACCGCCGCGTTCACAAAATATTGTTTGTCCAAAAATTGTTTTTCGTACAGAACAAAATAAAACGAAAATACATGTATAAGGTACAAATATGCGCATGTATACGCGATACAGAGACACGTAGATGATGTGTATCCGGTAATCGCATTACCTCGTGCTCGGTATATTACTGCGTTATTAAATTAGAACCATGTCATTGTCGTGCCGTTCTTTAATTATTATTGCCGAGACACGAGCTATATGTATGTATAATATAAATATACGTTCGTATAAACGTAATTTCAATTAATTTCAATCCACCTTATGTGCTGATTCGCACGTAGATATATATTTATACGGTTTCGTGCCATGACAGAAACGAACGAATTCTTGTCAAGTTTCGTCGGGCTGACGATGGTTATGTATATCAAGCAGTTATTACAATGTACACCTTCTACATAGTGTGTTTCGGTATATACCGATGGATTCGTATAAGATATAATACCGAAAGAATAACAAAGACGCGGGAATGTGCGCGCACACGTCCATGTTATTACAATCGTGTCGGTTTCCCAAGATATCATAGGAGCATTGGATACAGACATAATATTTATTATTATACTATACGTATTATACTCGTAGTATAATTTTCAGATTTTGAACTAAGCAATCTTTAGATTCCGAAAAACCTATTGGTCTTATCATAATGTATTTATTTTTGTCCGTCTACAATGTAAACTCTGTACGATTTTGTTCAGGAGGCATTTAATCATCAAAAAATGGGGAAGGAAGCAGTTTTGTTTAGTTGGCACTTTCAGGAGATCATTTTTCGAATTTCTCGACAGTTTTCCAAATAATTTGTTGAAAAAAAAACTAGCCATGAACCCTGATATTTTGCCTCTTTTTCATAATATAATATATATAACGATGTGATGATACATATATATATAAATTACGCCGAATGTAGGAATTCCGCAGTATGGTTAACGATTTCGAGAAATTGGCAAACATTTAATTTTAATTAAAACATACTTTTTCCGTGCAATTGTATGTCCATACAGTTGTTGAATACGTGAATTCGGCAATGGTAAAGTATGCATGTATTATATATATACCATATTATGTTGTGATAAATCGAACAGAATCCTAGTAAAACAATATTATAGATGTTTTTTAATTGTTCTTTCATACCAATCAAAATCAGAATTTTAGATTCTGAGTAAAACGAGGACTTTATTGGTTTAACAATGATGTGAATTTTTTATTTTTTAAAGTTTTTTTTTCAGCTATTTTAAAAAAATTTAAATATTAGCTTTATTTCAAAAATGTTAATAAAATAATTTTGGTTTGACAAAAAATCTCGATTCTGAGTCTTTTTATAAATTACAAATTAGAGAAAAAAAAAAAATTAAGCTTTATATCAAAAAAAAAAAATTACGAAACGATATAAATCACGAAAATTCATTATTTACGTATAAAATGTATAATCCACTTTTACTCTACAAAAACATGTTTGATATATTTCCTGAGTTTAGGGGTGGAAGGTTGGAACTCTCCCCATTGTGTACGCTTCTTCGAGTATCAAATATCTTCAGAAATACAGACTGATCTACGCGACCTCTTTCACTCAGAATGGTTTTCTTTCTCAAAATCGGTGATACGTTGGTTTTCAGTTTAGAAGACCAATACAGCAACCATTCAAACGTTCTTGTATTCACCCGCCCTATGAGCGTTGCTTTTATTTCCTGTTGTGTATTCCGAAGCGAAATATTATGATCTCTATGGCCGATCGTTACCTAGAAATGTTCGGCCATCTCGTAAGAGTGTACCGAAATATTGTGTAAGTGTTCACGACGAAGACGGTGTACACACTCGAGCTTCGTGTTGAATGCAATCACGCGTTGCGCACGATAAATATTTTAATAGCGCGTACAGTCGAACAGTGCACGAGCGTGATACGCTGGGTGTGCGGTCAGCGGTCTACGTATAAGTACAGAATGTACATTAATACACATAGTCGTCCGGGCGGAGAGAAAATACGATTATTAGCAGCATAATGTCGTCTTTCGGTTGTATTTTAAATTTTTTTCGTTGCGGAACGTGAACGGAACGGAATCACGACCGGCACGAAGAGATGAGGAGCAGCAGCAATCACCGGACGCTCACAGATACGTTCGACGCTGCGGTTTTCCACCATCTATGTTGTATCGATCGTTAAGATCGTGTAAAATTATACACCCCGACTTATAACGGTTTAACACGATTTACGGATCGAATATCGGTCCGTTGGATCGACGGAACCGTGTTGAACGCGTGATTGTTCCCCCCCCCCCCCCCCCAATGTATCGATGCGTTCGGAGCGTCTCTTGCGAAGATATATCGCAGCAATATATACCGCACGTTTCAGGGCTCGTTTCACACACATGTACACATTGTATTGGTAAATAACATAATACGTTGACCAAATGTCGTTGGCTTTTCACAATGGGCGACCAGACGGTTATAGTTGGTTTCGTTAGCTTGATTTTTGAACCGTGCCATTATTGTTATGCCCACGTCGCACCGTTTGGGTGTTGTTTACACGCGATAAAGTAATATCACATTATAACATTAACACACTGTTTTATCGAGTATAATTTGTTAACAAAATAAAACGGATTAAACGCACGTACCGGCGCGCTCGTGTACTTTATTTGTACTTAATATACCAAGCACTCGTAAACGGATTTCAATTGAAATGGAACTTAGAATTTCGTGTATAACGGTGCGGTGCTTTGGAAATATCGTGATGAAAAGGGACTATTCGATACTTTAAAAAAAAAAAAAAAGCGTGAATGTCTATTATTCCCAGAACGAGATAAATACCAATGTTTTTTTTTTTGTTTTGTTTGGAAAATAATTACAATTTCATTTAAAGGCCCAACATGTATTTACTGCGGTTCTGAATGCGATTTACAAAACATGGTGTGTTTATTAGATACCTAATATCATAGAATTATTAAATAACTAAATACCCATTTGATTATTCACTACAATGTTGCGAGTAAAGAATATTCTAATGCAGCTTATTGCCCAAAAATATTCCCACGAGGAATATAAATGAAAGATTTTTTTTATTTTTGGTATAAGAAACATTAATTATGGTTTTCAATAACAATCTCGTTGTACACCAGCTAGCTACATTTTATTTATAAATAATATGACGCGATTTAACAACCGCGTTATATTTAACAATATAATATGTTTTTTTAAACTATACTATCATGAAATTATTATTAAATGTAATAAGTATAATTACAAATTCAATATAATTTGTTTTTATTTATCTGTGTATTAGTAAATTATCAAATTTACTATAAAACTGTATAATTACAACTTATATATTTACTAATCTAAATAAGTTTTCTTAAACATGGGCATGAGAAGAAAATGATTAAATATTTATTAATTTGAAAAAAGTTTCATTTGAAAGATGATAGCCAGTACCTGCACTTTAATCTAACCAATAAGTGCTGCTATTTAAATATCATTTTTATGACTTACATATACAAATGACGGTTTTCAACATATACATATAATTTAAATTAGTAATTATAATCTACTAAATATATTATAACTAACCTATATACCTAAAGTTGAATGTTTGATGCGATAAATTATATATTTTGGATTATATTAATATTGATGTAAAACCAATAGTTAAAAACTAATAATTTTAATGCTTCAAATACGATATGCTTTAAGTGAGTGTACACTGTTTGAACAGACATATTTTTAATACCAATAAACTCTTTGTATGTTTAGAAAAAATCGTCTATTGAAGTCTATCGTCTTTTTTCTTTACACTTTGCTACACATATGCCTTTGTTAAAAATTACTATGTAATCAAATACAATACTGGTATGCATTTAATCCTAATAACAGCCTATCAAAAAAACACAGGTATAATAAACCGGAACAAATGGTTTTTTTTCTTTTCATTTAATGTGGTGGATAGAAGTCGGTAAAATATTAAGTGTAAACACGAATTAAAAGATAGGCGCCAGTGTGCACGGACAAAAAGACCGCAAATCGATGATCTTGATTTATTTTTTATTTTTTCTTCCCATTTCGATCAATTACTCAGCAAGCTATATATGATATGTTTTGGTTTATATATATATATATATATACATATGTATGTGTGGTGTGTGTGTGTGTGTGTGTATTCAATAATTGTGCAAAGAGGAAGTATTTTGTCTTATATGTAGAAGCCGACGTACACGGAGGGCGTATCTTGTCAATGATCTGGACAGCAGGTCTGCTCTGTATACCTATATATACTATAACGACCGCACAGAGAGCAAGAAGGCTTTTTGATGGAACATAAAAGATCAGGAAAAATACCGCTGAAATTAAGGTTTAGATTCCATATTGACCGATGTATGGTTTGAAAAAAAAATCAATAAAATTAGGGCTGTTATTATTTGGAGTGATATAGATTGGTTATTGGACTAGTGGTTTTATTTACAATCACCTTCCATGCACAATATATCTTCGTTGTTTCATGTATATTATATAAAACTCACATTTATTCAACACATTTTTAGATGAGGCGTTGATTGTTCCAAATTATTATATTGCTAACTATAGTTTGAGTGTAATAAAATGATTACATTTCTGCAAAAAAAAAAAATGAATAAAAACATTTTATATTTGTTGCAGATTGTGGAAAATATAGTTACTTGATTAATTCATAATTTTATAAAAATATTATTATAACTATCCACGGCGTTAATTATTGACAATATGTTTTCACTGTACGCGTGGATTGGAGATAACTTTTTTATTAAAATAAAAAAAAAATTAAATTTCTCTAGTAATCAAGATATCAATAAAACATTTGTAACGATTACATAAAAAACTATTTTTATTTTGAGGAAGTTAAACATTGGTATTACTTCCAAACATTAATTACATCGATCTAAAATAGTAAATCGCGATTTCAATTCCGTTTATGTCGGCGAGGAGGTATGTGGGAACAATAACTTATAAGTTTTTTTCTTAGTTGATGCAATTAAATTATTTTGTTTATCGATGTTGGTTTATTTCTTGAAATATTTTCATGCAAATCAATAATTATAATTAACTAAAGGAAGAGTACAAATTGTATATTTTATGTATTTTATGAAGGCATTTCATACGTACCTATACGTATTATAGATAACGCGGATGATACGGTATTCAAAATATGCTAAAATTATAGGTCACTGCGACATGTCGGATTAGCAAAAGGTTTAAGTCATGACTCAAAATCGTTGAACTGTACGTATAATTCAGGATCCCATGACTACAAAATTAAAATTATTTCTTTCGGAACTTTGAAAGCCAATTACAATAAATTGCTCAAACCATGCATATTAAACATCGTTTTTTTAATAGTTATTATCCGCATTTAAATCGTAAATTGTATTAACAGTTTATTCATACTATACATATTACAAAATTCCATGCATAAACAAAAATGTGTTTCTGAAGTGGTTGAGGTAACTATTAAAATCGTAATCTATACTCAATTACTCTCACTGAGGCGGCTAAATGAAAATTAATTTTTTTATCTTCAAAACCAAAGTTTTAACAACTTAACTTTAGAAAAATATCGTCTTTTTCTTCTCCTTCGCCTTTCTCCTAACTATTTGTGGTTGGCCATTCGTAGAAAATTAAAGAAAATAACAATAAAAGATAATTATCATAAATGTTAAAATTAATACTGGGATGATATTTCCTACATGTTGTTCGTATAATCAATGTTTATCATCAGTTTTGAGCTTATCGTAAGTTGTTCACATTCGTGTTATTTGAATCAAAAAATATGTGTACCAAATTGATTTGTATGAGAATTCTGCAATATTAACGGTGGTGAATTTTGTTTATGATGACGTAACATACTAGATTACAGTTCTAACAGTGTAAAATAATCATTATTAGACAAACTTTATTTTAAAATCATTTTTTCAACCAAATTAAAAATTAAATGTCAATGTTGTATGTACTTATATCGGTTGGGAACGCCTTAATATACCCGCACGAATTAACAGCTAAATTAAACGGTGTGATATTTTTATTTTTGCTTCATATTATGATAAAATTAATCTCCTTATATATGTTAAATCATAAAACACATTTTAGATCTGTTTATCTTCAGTTTATGGTAGAATTCTTGTACATTACCGTGCAAATTGATTTGTTATACCAAAATTTTTGATTCTGACGACTTGTGAAAAACATGCAAAAAGCTCAAAAATAATGTTACACATCGATTCATAAGAGAAAAACGTACAATAATATAATCTTAGTTTTTATTTTGTCATTTAAGATAACTATCTAAAATCGATAAAACCGTGATTTTGAAGGAAAATAAAAATGTCAAAAAAAAGTCCAGAGAGTGTTGCTAGTTACCCTCAATTATCCCGGAACACTGCCTAAAAATTCTATTCAAACGTATATAACATACTAACGTATAACTATGATTGTATAGTACTACTTGCTTTTGTATACTTTCTTGTTGCGACGCGTTCAAAATACATAATATATGCACATCTCTACAAGAGTGGTTTTCTTGGTTGTGCGTTTTCGGCGACTACTTATCGGGCCTAACTATGTAACATTTATGTACATACATTACAGAACGATCGCGCCATTTTATTTTTAGACCGCGCAAAACCACACGCATCTATATGTACAACGAGTTATTATTTTCACCACTCCGTGGACGATATTGTCACGTGTAGGTACGGGCGAGATGATAAAAAATAATATAAAAATACAATTATTTATTAAGCATTTTAGTATTATTAAGTATTTACAATGTATCTTTCCTACCCCAAAGGCGTATTCGTGTTGAGGCCATGGGGGGGGGGGAACTAATTTTTCTTCAATACAAATTTAAAAATAATTTACAGTTGATTACAGGGACGTACCCAAGGGGGGGTTTTCAGGTCCGAACCTCCCTATTGAAATGTCTACATACTCAATGGCTTAATAGTAAATAGTATATAGTGTATTTTAATTTCCCACTATTTTCAATATACGAGTACAAAGTTTATAGATTATATAATAAACCAATAATGTATAAACCATGTTTAATTTATACTACTTTTTTAATATTATTTATTATTGTTAATTAAATAATGTATTTTTTTTATAATATTGTACTACCAAATAAAAATTGATTTCAAATTATAAAACTCACTTATAATGGTAAACCTTTACGCAGAATATGTATGATGCGTGTATAACTATTGTGACTATTACTATAGTTATTAACAATAATCTGTTGGTAATAAATTAAACTATAATTATAATTAGAGAGCAGATGAAATAAAAATGTTAGACCCCCCCTCTAAAAATTTCCTGGGTACGTCCCTGGTTCATTATCTACAGCTCATGTTTCCGTTGCTCATTCGTGTGAATAAATAAAATACAATTACCAAATTGAATTTAATATTTATTTAATAAATATATTTAAAACCTACTGCATATAAAATAAGTATTAATAATAA